GGTTCGAGGAGGCGCCAGGCAGGGGCTTTGGGCTTGGGAGAGGACTCCAGGAGATGTCGCCTCGTACCGCCCCATCGCACCGAGCAGCATGGGCAGGTGCGCATTCGCGTGCAGCTTCTCGATCGCTCCCGCGGCGGCGGCGGCGGCGGCGGCGCGCAGCGCGTCGCGCTTCTCCGCGCTCGCCATCGGCGCCGACGCCGCGTCGTCGAGCGGCGCGGCGAGGGAGGCTGCGAGGGCGAGCGGGCGAATGAAGCACGGCCGCTCGAATCTGGCCGCGAGGCTTGCCCACGCCGGATCGCCCGAGAGAAGAGAGAGGTCCCCCAGCGCCTCCGACATGCCGCCAACCTCTTGGTTGATGAAGTCCTCCCACCGCTCACGGCCGCCCGCAGACCACATCGCGTCGACACGCCTAATCTCGAGAAATATCGAGTACTCTCGGGTACTCTCGGGTACTCTCGGGCAGACCACATCGCATCGGCACGCCCGCGAAGGTGCGACGCCAGCTGCAGCGCGACGGTCAAGGCCGCAGCGCCCGACGTTGTGCTCGGCCACAACTGCCGGTGCGCAATCAGACCGGCGAGGAGCTTGTGCATGACGTAGTAGGGCACCCATGGCCCGGGCGGCTTGCCCGCCTGCTCACAGCTGGCGGTGTGAAGAGGCGCTGTTCACAGCATGACGTAGTAGGGCACCCAAGGCCCGGGCGGCTTGCCCGCCTGTTCACAGCTGGCGGTGTGAAGAGGCGCTGTTCACAGCATGACGTAGTAGGGCACCCAAGGCCCGGGCGGCTTGCCCGCCTGCTCACAGCTGGCGGTGTGAAGAGGCGCTGTTCACAGCATGACGTAGTAGGGCACCCAAGGCCCGGGCGGCTTGCCCGCCTGTTCACAGCTGGCGGTGTGAAGAGGCGCTGTTCACAGCATGACGTAGTAGGGCACCCAAGGCCCGGGCGGCTTGCCCGCCTGCTCACAGCTGGCGGTGTGAAGAGGCGCTGTTCACAGCATGACGTAGTAGGGCACCCAAGGCCCGGGCGGCTTGCCCGCCTGCTCACAGCTGGCGGTGTGAAGAGGCGCTGTTCACAGCATGACGTAGTAGGGCACCCAAGGCCCGGGCGGCTTGCCCGCCTCCGTGAGAGCAAACTCGGCCTCGGGGAAGGCGGAGACGTAGCCTCCGGCGCCGAGCTTGGCTTGACACTCGGCGAGCCCTCGCACGACCGCGCCACAGCGGGCGAGCAGCGCCGCTCGCTCCGTCTCGTTCCCCGTCGATGCAGCGGCGGCGGAGGCGGCGTGCAAGTAATGGCCTACGAACTCGCCACGTAGGCCCGAGCCGCCGCTCTCCCAGCCGCCGTACGCCGGCGCCGCTTTGAGCGGAGGCAGGCCCGCCGTCACGCGGAAGAAGTGGAGCAGCCGGTCGACGTCGAGCGCGAGGAGCCAGGCAGTGTTGACGCGGCTGGCGTGCTCAAAGTGGGAGCCCGGGAGCAGACGCACGTCGTGGAGTGACACGCTGCGAAGCGCCAGCCGCGCCTCCCCTCTCTTGTCGCCTCCGCCGCCGCCACCGCCGCCGCCGCCGCCGCCGCCGCCGCCGGCGATGCTGCCCACACTTTGGCTGAAGGAGGTTGAGGTGGCGGCACGAACCGGCCTGCGCTGCACCTTGGCCTTGCCGCCGTACGGGAAGTACATCGGGCCCGCGTAGCTCGAGCACTCCATGGCCGACTCCTCGACCCGCGGCACGGTCGCCTAGGCGAGTAGCAGGGTGTCACAGCAGCCTTTCACGCGCAGGAGGGTTGTCGCTTTGTGCCATGCGCACGTGTGGCGCAGCGACTGCGAACGTGGCCGCGAAGAGTTCGGCGGTGCGTCCGACGCGCTGGCTCGCCTCGAAGGCGGAAGGGAAGTGTCGCGCGTGCCGCTTCCACTCCGAGTTCCACGCAGCCGTCATGTTCCGCCGGTTGCCAGCTGAAGAGTGCAGCGCGAGCAGGTACGAGTGAGACCAGTCACTGAACCAGTAAATGCGAAGGACGGTACAGATGAGGACTGCGACAGCGATGAGGACCGCTGGAGAGCTCGGGTTCAGGCGCGAGCGGCGCTTCCCTGAGGCTCTTGCCTGGGAGTTGGTTCGCGGGCTGCTCATCGACCTGTACCGTCACAGCCTCAGGCGCGCCGGTTTCTTTTTTCTCTATTGTTTCTTTTTAGAGAGGCAGAGCCAGTGAACTCCGCAACTCGTCCACGTCGACAGACCTCTTGAAGTGATGCATATCCGTCTCAGCAAGGTCGGCTGCGCCCAAGCGAGCGAATGCCTTCGCGCGCCGGAGGACGGCCCTCACCGTCATCTCCTTGTCACCCGCACGACCCTTCATGCTAGAGACGTACATGACATTTCAAGCTTGAGCCTGGATGTCTCAGCCAGTAGAGCTGTGCAGCACTTCTTTTGGAGCTTTTAGCTGAGCATTTAGCATCTCCTAGGACGCTTCGACCACCGCCCGGCACCGCCCCTCGGAGGCCGGCTAGATGCTCGCCGAGGGCCCAAAACCGGCCACTCAAAGCTCCAAAACGTACCTGAGAATCTGCTCCAGACTTCTACCACATCACCACA